TATTTATGATGAGCTTAGAATAACACTATATTGATATAAGAAAGCAGAAAATGTACAGTATGTTTATATACTATATTTATGATGAGCTTAGAATAACACTATATTGATATAAGAAGGCAGAAAATGTACAGTTTGTATATATACTACATTTATGATAAGCTAAGAATAACACTATATTGATATAAGAAAGCAGAAAATGTACAGTATGTATATATACTATACTTATACAAAAACACAACATTAAAGTTCCGTTAACAATATTTAAAAAATACACAATAAGCTCAAAAGGAAGTTTTTTACTTTCTTGATTTAATGTTACAGTGGATTGTATGACATTCATATATAGTCTATTCTATGTAAAGAGTAACAGAAGAAAAATATGTATAAAAGTGCTCTTGTGAACCACACCATCTAAGAACAAAACACGTATTCTCTTTAAAAAAAAAACTTGCTAGCATTTCTTTAAAGATGTAAATAATCTTATTTAGAAAGGTTATTGTTTCATATCAGTTTTCTACTATTGGAGCAATTTATGTATAATCTCAGGTAAAATGTACAAAATCGTGTTATCCAAATCATACGTGTGTTATGGTGAAAAGCTTAATAAATACAAAAATACTGAATACCTGATGTTCTACATAATGAGCAATATAGCTTCAATAATGCCTTATTTCATTACATTTAATATATATTATTATTTCATTGTTGGATAACCTTACAATTAAGTGTTATATATATGCAATCCTAATTATATTTGATCTAACCATCACAGTTAAATCAGGTCACAATACAGATTAATCGATCTTTACTGATTTAATCCAGCCAGAACAGTTAAATCAGGATACAATACAGATTAATCGATCTTTACTGATTTAATCCAGCCAGAACAGTTAAATTAGAATACATGTAGATTGATCAATCTTTACTGATTTAATCCAGCCACAACAACTAAAGTAGGATACAAGCTTTAAATCATTATTTCTGCACACTGCACTTAATTCATGCATTTGTAAGTTACCACATTGACAGTTAAAAATTATGAAGGCAGTGTTTGAGATACAAAGGTTGTCATAAATTCTATTTATTTCTAGCACAACTAATTGTAAAATGATTAAAGTCTAGAATGACAATTTATAAACATATCTATGTTTGTTTTACAGGGGATAAACATTCTTTCTTTTTACACCTTTTGAATATTCTCAGTATTATTTTATATACCTTTCTGTATATTAAAACAACAACGAAACTTATTTATAAAACTTGTTTGTAAATATCAGTATATTTATGTTCTTGTTTTTTTTTAACCTGTTCTTTTTCTCTTTCTTGAGATTTCTGTTTACTTCTACGAGCATAAAACAATCCTATTTCTTTTCCTTTCAAGTGTGAAGGGTGACGTGACCCTCTCGATCCACTACCTACAAATAAAATATGTATTAGTTTTTTATTAAAAGGTAATGAACACAAATACCATGACATATTTTAAAAGAATGCATGCTCTTTACAGCTGCACATAAGAATATTATGAAATATTAACATAATTAATACAATAAGTATAAACTATAATTAAATATGAACAGTTATAAAATGTATACAATTAGTTAAGTCGAGGAATAAAAGACAACAATTATAAAACACATAAAACAGGTAAAAACTATAATTAAACATTAACAAAATACATTTATCCAGATATAACAATTTGATTACTGTCTGCCCATTACAATTTTAGTGATTGTGTGTGTGTGTGGTGGGTGGGGGGTGGCATGAAACCTTATAATTGTAGTGAGTGTTGGTATAATAAGCTTTAAGTAAAGACAGTGTGCGATCACCTAGCCTAGAGCCAAGTGCATGAAATTAATCATGAAAGTAAAAACATCGATTAAATTTTAAACTTAAATTGTTTCTGAATTAAGCTATTTTCTGTTATATCACAAACATTTTCAATAAAAACAAACCTCTTTAATCAACAGAAACTATAAATTAAGAAATCAACGAATATTTTTCCAGTTTTGTTGTCTATACATTTCATTTTATACTTTCAGTACATAGACTAACAACAATATTAGGTTATACTTTTGACATAAAAGACATTGTTGGAACGTAGCATTAACTATGGGCAAAATATTTAGTTTTAATTATGATATTTTACAAAATGTAACTAAATTGTAATACTCATTCATAACTTATTTTTATGCTCCAGGTACATATGTATGTTTATCAAAATCACCAGAAGAGATATTTGTAAGATACCTAAAAGTTTGTATATCATGTCAAGTTACAGAGGCAACTATAGAGGAGAAGGAGGAGGTAAGATTATGTTGGAAGAATTGAATTTATTTACTATGCAATTTACCATGAGGAATTACTAATTATTCATTGTATATATTTGAAAATACTTTATTTCAGTTATGTTATATACTTTAATGTTGAATATAATTATTACACTGACTCAGTTTGTGGTTAAATTTTATACTTATTCTGTACACTAACATTTCGCCTGTTGAAAATGATGGGACAAGTACTACTACCCCCACCCCATAATATATCCTAATCTCATATTTCATAGCTAAATGAAATATATAAAAAAATTAAGCTTGAGCAACAAAGAGGCAGAAAAGTGCAGCTGAGGCAGTCAAGTGTTGGTAAATTCCAATCAAAATTAAGATCCTTCATGAAATGAATTCTTAGTGTATTCATAAAATAATTATTGGTAAAAATCAGTTAGAGTAATAACTTCTAATATATAGAAAAGCCAGTGTGTTTTGTAGATACAATATACAGGGATACTGAAAACAACTGTAGATATGGATGTTAGATATTCTAGAGGTGATGCAACTGCAGTGTGCAAACTGTACAGCAGATAAAGGCATATTTAGTCATCACATGGGCATCACGTACCCTCTGACTTTTCAGTCTGATTAAGACTGACATCAGCAATTCACAGACATATCTTGAGAACAAATACATTTATAACACACTAACTCTTAAAAATATTTTATGAACATTGTGTTTTTGAATTATAACTCACTAATACTATAAATGATCAATTAATAAGCCCGTTATTTCTTAAGACAAATAAACAAACAGTTCCTCTCCTCTACCATGAATTGTTGTTAAATCAGTATTGTATGATAAAATGAACAGTTGGTATCACCGACATCAAATACATAATATCTTGTTGAGAGGCTCACTGGAAAAGGTTGTGGCATGCACGTTTTGACCCTCACCTAGTGATAGATAAATCAGTCCAATCATCAAAACAGTGAGTACAAATAGTTTTAGAAGTTTGGATGGGTTTTTTTTATATATTGATTACGTGATGCAAATCTCTGGTTAAGTCTCACTCGGAATATTGTGTACACATTTGGTCTCCTTATCTAAGAAAGAATATTAGCTTGATGGAAGGATGTTACTACTTGGGTAATACATATTACAAATTTATTACACACATTGTAAGATTTCCAAAATATTATGAGTCAATAGTTAATAAGTAGTGCCTGGCCAAGACTTGTAACTAAATATCTAAATCTCAAACATAAATATAAGTTAATATCAAGTCACACATAAGGATAACAAACAAAAGAAAACCTAACTTGTTAGATTACACAACTGAACAATATCAGACACTTCTCAAAATAGTGTTAAGTTAAAAATAATGATGAAGTGACTATATGTAATAATAATCAAATATATCTTACATATTTATCTATATTCTAAGATAATTATTTAAGATCTATATATTTAAGATATATATATAAGATCTATATATCTATATATATCTAAATAAGATCTATATTTATCTATATTTCTGAGGGTAGAAGACATACACAATGGTTCATGTTTAAAAAATGTTTCATTTAGCTTTATTTTAACTTAATGCTTGAAATATGTATTATATAATCCACAAATGAATTAATAAATAAAAATGACTTGCATAGAGATCGTTACTTTACCACACCATGTACATATGCTGGAACTTTGTAAACCAAGTCAGTCATATGGTACCAGAAAAGACAATGTCATTATACTATAAAGGTGTCTTTATTTGATTTCTTCTTTTTTTTTCTAAATATGCTAAATCAATAAAAAATATTATAATTCACTAAGTTTTAAAGGGGGATAAGAGTTTTAAGAAATGTTCTTTTTACCCAAGAGCAATGGTGTATTAACAATTGTGATGTTTTGTATATAACTGTAAATGATCATCTCAATTTCTAGTAAGTAAAATTATTTGGCAAGATTTGCAGTTATTTCCAAATTATGTTTCTTTTGTAAAAATGATGTTTCGTTGTATATGGAGATAAGTATCATTCAGTGAATTTTATGTCAGTTCACCTTACTCTAGTGGTGAGGAAAGTTTAGACATTTTGATAAAAGATGCTTTTTAAGGGCATTTGATAAGCCTAAAATTTTACCATAGGGCAAATATCGTTTTACGAAGGGATGATCCTGCCCTACTAATCTAATAACTTTATATTCTATATATTACTTCTTAACCTGATGAGAGTAAATACATGGATTTGATTTATATGAATTTTCAGAAAGCTTTTGAAAAGATGCAACATGAAAGTTCACTGAAAAATATCTCAGATTACACCAGTGCCGGATTTAGACTTGGTGAGGCTTTAAGCTATATAAAGCTTGGAGGCCCCGTGTTAAAAAGTTACACCAGAAGGTCTCACAAAGGTGCGTACCAAAACATGACCTTGGGTCACCACAAAAAATTTAAAACATATATATATATGCCTTTTAATTATTTAAAGTGAAAAATAAAAATTATTTTCAAATGAATGCATTTTAAAAGCAAAAAAAAAATATATTAAATTTTGTGAGGCCCCAAGCTGCAGCTTGTTTAGCTTATGTCTAAATCCAGCACTGAATTACACAGTTAGTTAAACGGAATCATGGTTGACTATATGTAAAGAATCAAAAGGTCTGCCTGTATATATTTCTCTCAATGTCGACAATGTCTGTAAAATGTGTCCTTTCTTTATGGAACCCTTCAAAACCCAAACACCTCTCCATAGTTTCTCCAACTTCAGCAACGTTTCTTTTACACGTTTAAGCTGTCAACTTCGTACTTACAAAATTATTCTTTTTATTAACAAGGTCGCTATATAAAACCTTAAGACCTCTTAAAATTACATTAGTAATCTGTATGTCACCAAGACTTAATAATACCCATACCATTTACAAATAATATGACAATAAAGCTTCTTTGTGTAGTTCTGGTAACATACTGCAAAAACATATAGTATTAGTATAAAAAAATTAACTTATTGTTGACTTCCAATCAATAAAACCAACCACTCTCTTTAAATGTCCTCCAAAATCCATGGCACTATCCTTCAAGGTCTACAATTTCTCTCAACTACACATCTTTGGTAGAATATTTACCATATGTCATCCAGATAACAAGTAATATCCTCTAAAACAACAACATAATACTAATTAGTTGTACAGCAAGATTTCTCTTCACTTTATGTTGGCTCTATAATATTTCACAAAACAATCAACTTTCATCAAAACCTCTGAAACGTTTCCCACTACTGAATGTGGACTTTTAAATCTGGCCTTCATTTCCATTTCAAAGATAATGAATTTAAGACTTGGAAAGGTTTTATTTCTTCAATTGGCAATAGAGACTTGAGTGGTAAATCTGTCGATCGAATTGCCATCTAAAGTGATAAGGGTTGCAACTTTACACAAGTTCAAGAATAGAGTTGAAGAATTGGGGCTGGATTTAGTGATTATTTTTTTGTTTGGGCCAAAAATTCTTTATGGTTTCATGTCCTGTAACTCATGAAATTTTTAAATGTAAACTTAGGATTATAAATTTCAACAAACCAAATCTTTATTATCTATATCTACTACTGAGTACTATAAAATGTAACATACTACAAATTACAAAAAGCTAAAATAATAGTAACAATAGTAATAGTCGGTAATATATTACAAATTACAATAGGCTATACTTATAGATAACTTTATAGCTTCATATTACTACTACTAACGATCAACGTTGGCGTTTCTTTTTTTGTTGTTCATTTGTTTGTTTTTTTTTGTTTTTTTTGCATTTTCGTAATTGAAGGTGAAGTGGTAATATTACTGAGTAGTAATTGTTTTTTGTTTGTTTATTTAATCATAGCAATAGTTCTACTAAAGTATTAATATTCCGAGTTTCCCGTGAATATAAAACTAAATTAACAGTACACGGAAAAAACTGGAGTGGGGGTAAGCGCAATATTACATTTGTTTAGAAATTAGACAATGGCTAGCAATATTATGGTATGTAAATATTAGTAATACTATTAATATTGTTATTCAGGTTAAGAATCAGAACTCGATGAATCTTCAGGTTCAAAGTTAAGTTTAATAAAACCGTAGCGCGTTTTACTTTGAATTTGAAATAAGAA